GGTAGAGAGGTATTTCACACACACTCATTCTTCCTTACTGTATTGCAACTGGTTATCTTTATAACCAGTCTGTAACTATTTCCAATCTAAGAATTTGATATATTAATCGGGTTGTCTTATACTTTATTTATACTTTATACTAGTCATAACATCAAATGTCAGAGCTTGAAATCTTTCGGGGAGGTTTTCAACAAGATACCTATTACTGTTTCTCAAAAGTCAAGTTAGAGAATGTCTAAAGAAATGTTAACTTGATAAGTGGTTCTGGAAATGTTGAAAACAAGCTGAAAACTCAGCTCAGTAACTAATTGAAGAGCAGTTTTCCAGATTACTCTCAAGACAGTAAAACCATAGGGGTTAAAGTTTAAACCTTGGTATTAAAAGATTGCACTTTAAAGGTAATGTGACTGAGCAAGTGATTAAATCTGTTCCCAAACCTTAAGACAGCAGATGAATGTGACAACCAAGGATCCTTGCAATGATTAAACTGTTCCGTATTTTCACAGTTTTCACTATCAATATCCTGGTTAAAATGCTGTATTCTTTTTCAAGCTGAGCACTGGTAGCACCCTGGGTTCGATTCCTCAGTACCACATGAACAGAAAAAGCCAGTTCAAGTGGTTGAGTGCTAGCCTTAAGCAAAAGAAGCCAGGGACAGTGCCCATGTCCTGAGTTCTGAGTTCAGGCATCAGGACTGAGGACTGGCAAAAAAAAGGAAAGAAAAAAGAAAAAAAAGATATACAAGTTCATGCTCATTTCTTTTCTGAGCAGGAAACTGTCTTGCTCCCTTCCTTTTCTTTTGCCCTCCTTCCCTTTCTTTTCTTAGAAATGCTTTATTCTGTAAGACATAAAGTTAAGAAAAACTTGTTGGAAATGTTCTTCTATACTTAATTTCTCATACATTTTCTTAAAGTATGTATTTTTTAAGTACAAAGGTTCAAACTCTGGGCTTTGCACTTACTAGGTGGGTGTTCTACCACTTGATTCATGCCCCCCAGATCTTTTTTGCTTTAATTTTTGAAAAGGATCTCATGTCTATGTGTCAGCCAACCTGGATGGCGAGCCTCCTAATTATATTTCCAGCATAACCAGAATGCCATGTACATGTGAAGCTACAATCAACTCCAAATAAAAAGTTTAATTAGAAAGTTGTTGCTTTAAAATAGTTTAAGTAAGACATTGAGGTACCAAGCTTGGTGGTACACACCTGTAATCACAACTACTTGATAAGTAGAGACAAGAGTACCACAGCCAGCCTACTGAAAAATAAAAGTGAGGAGGGGGGAGATAGGATCATGATTCAAGTGGAAAACCTTGCCTAGCAAGTGCAAGGCTCTGAGTGCAAGTCCTGGTACTACATGAATACATACGTAAGTATTAATTTCAAAGCTACCCTAGGGAGTCACATACCTAATTTTCTGTTAGATGCAATAGATGTCAAATTACTTTTAGTGCAGCAGAGATATCCAGAAGGTGGCGCTATTATCACACTAACATAAATAGTCAAGTCACCTGTGGGTGGGGAAGGAAGAAAAACTAGGAGGAAAGGCGTTACATTGTCAAAAAAAAAAAATGTACTCATTACCCTCTGTACATCAGATTTATAGTAACAACTAAAAAATAAAAAGTTTAAAAATTGAATAGGATTTCTACAAATAACAATAACCTCAGATCAGATTTTCAATGCATGTCTTTGTTTGGAAAAGTATTATAAATCACTTTAAAATGATTAATTTGTGATCCTACAATAAGGAATGTAGCAAATGGAAAACCAACTCACTTAATTAAGTGTACTTTCAATCATGTTCTATATTTGTCAAACCCTTCCAAACAAAATCAAGTTCTGGTATTGTTGGTCTACAAAATCTGGTATTAAGCCACTAGTTTTAAACAGCCGTCAGGTGGTCTTTATATTTTTCTATAACTATTTCCTGTCTCACCACCAATATTTTTGTTGCTGTTGATTTGGTTTTGAGACAGTGTTTCACTATGATCTTTAACTCTTGAGATCAAGTGATCCTGACTCAGCCTCTTGAGTGCATACTACCACACCCAACTTTTGATAATAGTTTTAAGTACCACAGAAACAAAATAACTAAACTACAACTAAAAGTAGTAGGAAAGCTGAGAGCAAAAATCTTGAGGCTTTCCCTCCATGGTTTTCTTTAAAGTGGAAACATTTGATAGTGTGTCCAAGCACATGAGTATGTACGTGTGTGTGTGTGTGTGTGTGTGTGTGTGTGTGTGAAAGTGACAGAGAGTTTCTTTGTAGAGTATTCCAGAATTTCAATTGAATGATTTGTATTTAAAAGTTTAAGGTTCAATAATTTATTATGAGTACTCTGTCCTCATTTGCTGAAGAGGTATATTTGAGTTTCATTTGGGTTCTAATAACAGGTTGACAGACTGGCCAGGGTTTCCCATGGCAGTAAAAGAACACTTTCTATCAAAAAGCAAAAGGAATCTAGAAGGCTTGGTGGGATGTGGGGGAGAGGGGGGAAGAAAGCCTGGGGAATGGAAGCACATGTGCCAGTACTGAGGCTTAAACACAGGGCCTTGAGTTCTCTGTCAGCTTTTCCATGCATGGCGGGTAAGCCACACCTCCAGTCCCAGCTTAGCTTTTTGCTACTTAATTGGAGATAAGTCTCAAATCTGTCTGCCTGGCCTGGCTTCAAATCAGGATTCTCAGATCTCAGCCTGCTAAAGAGCCAGGATTATAGCTATGAGCATTGAGCACCCAGCTTGGATGTGGAGACTTACTGGTATACCTCAAGAGCCTAGCCGGAGATCCAGTCCCCTCTAAATTGAGCAGATTCTGCATCTCATCCACCAATAACCAAGCACACAGAAAGCAGCTCAAACAACTGAAATGTGCTCCACAGGTAACACCTTTAACTGTGCTTCTGACAACATGGTTTTTAATTAGCAAAATAACTTTTTTTTCAAGAGAAAAAATTTTCCTTGTACAATTTACATGAAAATGCCTTTAATATATACTCAGATTTGCAGTTTCCTATTCTTTCAGAAATTACCAAATAATTACCACCCTTCAGTCTGTAAATTCATGTCAGTCAAGCAAAATTATTCTGTCCTTATTCCATTGACTTTCCCACACAGAGACCAAGTAAAATGAGAAATAAGTAGAAGGAATTCTGAGCAGTTTATTCTCAAGTCATTACAGTGTTCAACCAGTTTGACACATACAGGTAACAGAGGTAACAGTGAACATTGGGACGTGCACATTCCCACTGTGAAAGAAGACATGTTATACACACAGGAAAAATGCAGCACATAGTAAGGGATGTCAGATTTTGTGACATTTCAGATGTGACATATTTACAGGAAAAGTGTAAGTTTTAAAATAATTAAATAATTTCCATAGAGTTATAAAAGAATTGAGATAAATATTAAGAGACCCTGACAATCACAAAAACATTTCCCTATGCTATTAGGTAAGGGTAGTTCTATCTAAAAAAGTTCCAAAATAGAGCTAGTATTTTGCCACCATGAAATATATCAAATTACCAATACCAAAATATGCTAGCATGGCATGCAATGTGGAAGCTGTACCAAAGAAAATGCTATGAGGTTCTTAGGTACTGCGAAAGGACTACACAAGATTTTAGATGTGTTCATGAAAAAGAAACTCAAAAGAACCATTACAATGGCTATGTCAGCAGAAAAAGTGGCAATTTACCTAAACCTTTTCATTCTACCCTTTCAAATGAAGGTGCAAAAGAGAAAAATCTAAATATAGCTTTTAAAAAATTAGCTTATGAATAAAAAGTTGAGCGGGCATTCTTAGGCATATGGACTTTTAAACCAATAGATACTGTGTAATTCTAGTATAATATATCTTATAACCTCTGGACCCTACTACCTACCACTGTAGTAGCAACTTCTCTCTTAGACAAGAAGTCATCTTAGAAAATAAAAAGAAACGGAAGTGGTGCTGTGGCTCAAAGTGATAGAGCATTAGCCTTGAGCGTAAAAGCTCAGGGACAGTGCCCAGGCCCTGAGTTCAAGCTCCACGACTGACAGAAAAAAAGAAAGAAAGAAAAAAAAAAAAGAACAGTGATATGCATGAATTCAAAACAAAACAGTACTGTAAAATGGTAAAATATCATAAAAATAGCAGCATGTGAAATTCAAGACTTCTTTTCTTAAAGCAAATATTCAAGACTGAACCACAAAATGGTACTTGCTCAAACTGGTCTATCATTCAACTCTTGAAACTAAGACTTCTTTTGAGAGGTGCTAATATTTATGATATCCCCAAGATTAAATGTATACTCAAATTTGCTTTTAAAAAACATATATTGCACAGATAGTAGAATACCAGCATTCTGGTATATCTAACATAAAATGCTATCTTATTTAACACATTAAACTATTCTACTGAAAATTAATTTTATCTCAATGTTTAAAGCCAATCATATAGGACTTTTGAGCATATTCCTAGACAAGATGAAAAACACAGGCACTTGAATATAGGTTATTAATGACAGAAAAGTAGAGGCCACACCTTTTTGTGACTGGGGCAGTCCTGACTTTACATATAAACTTGAAGTCTTTCACTGATTCAAATATCAAAATAAAAACTATATAGAAAACTTTGATAAGAAAATTAGATCTCCAAACATTTCTGACCAAGTAATTTTCACTGAATAAAGCACTGACAGCTCCAAGTCCTGACAAATCTTTTCAAACAAGCATCTCAGATACAGTCACTTGAATGTTCATTTTCCCCTCTTCTACAGCTCGCTATCTTTAACCATGGTCTAACCATATCCTATCCTCTATGCAAAACCTAGCAGTCACCTTGAGATCCAGAATATCAAAAATGTATCATTTCAAAACAGTCCACCCGCAGTATACATCTGGCAGCACCACAGACACCATGAGTTTTAGAATCTTAATCTGGTGGTATTCCGTTTGATAACAGTAACCAATAAGAAAAATATTGAACATTTAATAGGAAGTCATAGTAGCATTTTTAAATGACCAAAATAATTAGTAAGCATTTTTCATGTTTTAAGTTGTTAAAACATTTAAACTGTCCAAGTCACTAGGAAAAAAATACCACATATAACTTTTTACCACCCAAATGAGAACACAGAAAGCCTCAGACAAATGATACTGAAACCATTAGGCATTTTTCTCTCATTCTTAAAGAAATGACATTCCCTTTGGCTACTCCCTAGATTCTTGGTTTATCAGCTTATATATAGACAGTGTACATCTAGGAGGCAGTCCAATATGAACACTAACCCATCTCACTATCATCTTTGGCTACAGCCTCATGAAAGGACACTGAGGGATTGGGATGCGTGGGACCAAGAGGCCCCACACGCCTCCATTTTACACGTCGCTCACTGGAAGGCTTGCGTCATCCAAGTCCACTGGGTCATGATCTATTTCCTGAGGGCCATTTTTACTTTGATGTTTTAGCAGAGCTTGCTCAGTCACTTTGGAAGCTGGTTCTCTTGAAGAGACAGTCTGGACCTTGAAGTTCCCTGGCTTGACCTTGGCAAGAGATTCATAAAATCCTCGCTTCTCCATGGTAAAGCTTGAGACCAGAGAGTGGCTGCGACAGGCTGCGGAATGTGAGGTGGTTGCTGCTGCACCGGCAGGACGGGGAGTGTACTTGGATTCGGAAGGACAGCTGGAATGCTCCTGGAAAGAGTAGCGGTGGTCAAACCCAGTCAATCATTAATAATAAAGTTAGTAACTCAGTAAGACTTGATTCTCTGAAAAACAAACACACATAGACACACACACACTCAAAGCAGAAGCATGAACCATGCAGCATAAACATGCCAAGCTCTTTCCCAAAGCAATGCATTTTTAGAAGTGAGTTCAAAGCAATGACAGCCAACAACCATTTCCACTAAGAAGCTAGTTCTGTCACCAAAGCTGAATTCAGTAGTTTATGACCCTGTAAGACAGCTTATACTGGGAAACAGTGTTCCAACTGCAACTGGACTATGTTTAAAAGTAGGCTACCAGCTTCACCCTTTTATCTATGAGTATATTCTCAACTGACAATGGGAATTGATGCGTTTTAAAAAGATAAAAATAAAATGAACATCAATAATGGAATACGTGTTTTGGGAGTACTGAGGTTCGAACTCAAGGCTGGTACTTTACCAATTGAGCCATACCTCCAGCCCTAGTTTTTACTGATTATTTTCAAGACAGGTTCTCTGTCTAGGCTGGCTTCAAATATTTCATCAGTAAGAATCAAGATTTTTCAAACATTATTTTGTCTAGCAGTTTTTTGCTTTCCTGAATTTCACTGCAGTCAAAAATAGCAAAGTCTTTTCACTTTTTAATTTAGTTTATTTAGTTGTACGCATGTGGTTTATTCACAGGGTCTAAGATTTTAAAGGTAAGGGTGCAATTGAGTCTTTACTTTGGTGAGTATCAGTTGTGAATATTCTAATATGCTTCTAACTAGATCAAATCTGAAGATACCATTAAATATGACCATTCTAAATGCACTGCACTATGCAGTTCCAAGCAGAGTGTGTTGATTTATGATACTAGTAGCTTTGAAAACAAAGTGCTTGAAAACATTATGAAGTCTTACTACATGGCTAAATTTCACTAGAGATTTAAAATGTCATGCAAAACATAACAATATACAGCCTATGCAATATATCTGCATGCAAAGTTTGCATGTAATTTCCTTAAATTGCACGCGTTTCCTTAAAATAAAGGTGTATTTAAAATGTTATCTAAAATATCTCAAAGTATATAAACTATAAAAACCAAAACACTCTTGCAGCAATTTGGTCAATTAATTTTTAGAAGCTACTTTAATGTCTCTTTCCATTAGTAAAGTTGTATTTCTTTAATTTTAAGTGCACATACTCAACTTGATGTCTCTAATGAAGTAGTTTGTGTTAGTGTTGACAAAGTCAGTTATGACAACTGCGAAAGGCAGTTTGGTTAACTCAACTTTCTAAGATCAGTTGTCAGTAGTAAGTAAGTCCGGGCCCTCTACTAAGAAGGCACGTTTGCGTGAGCGCCCACATACGTGCTGCATTCACCAGTTCTTGATGTATACCTCTGTATACAAGGGTTCGACAGCCTTCTGGCCTGCCGCATCTGGAACACAGTGCAAAGCTACGATTAGAGTTAACCTATACTCAGGAGAGGGAGGGAGAGAGAAAGTTCCGCTGATAGTCATAGCTAGTCCAATTTGCCCCACCACAAAGCACAAAACACAAACACCCTTCTCCACCTTTTCCTCTTCCCAACAGACACTGTTTTTGCAGAGAATCTCATACTTGATTACTGAAAAAGTCACATGAAATAGATGCAGTTACAAAATTAACACCTAGGAAGGTGGCTTCTTAGATATCCCAAAAGATAAATAGGTAGAATTAAGAACTGAGAAAACAATTAAGAAATGAGAAAAACTACTATCTATAGATAGTACTATCAGGAAAAGACAATACTATCCAGGGAAACCTACAATGCATGGAGCTAGCACATATAGTGAATCTAGATAATAAAGGCTATTATATTACATATTAGACCAGTTCTGCTGGTGATACATTTTCATTTTTCATCAGGATTTGCATTTTTAGATCAAAGTTGCTAGAGTTGCTAAAGTATTCCAAGCAAAACCTAATTCTATAAACCTCAACATAATAGAAAATATTTTCTTACTATTTCTAAGTAGAACATTTCTTTTCAATTTTATTATTATCATACATGCACAAAGATAATCACAGTAGTTTTCAGAAGCAAACTTTTATATTAACATACTAAATTAGAATAAAAGCATGAAATAGAAAATACTAAACAAGAGCACAAAACTACATTTAAGACTCCTACTTGGTCAGGAGCCTTTGGTACTATTAAGCCAAATAAAACTTAATTGAAATTAAGGAAGTAAAGAGGAAATGGGATGTCACAAAAGTGTAACACTAGAATTGAAGGTGGTTTGCATAATTAGGCCACATACCATACTATGTGTCAAACTACTAAGGAGTAAGTAAGAATTGCTAAAAACAAAGCAAGGAAACATTTATTCCTTAGTTGTCCTGCTTGTGCATTTAACACAATACAGTGCACACAGAAAGTTATGTATATGGAACACTACAAGGAAGCATTACATTAGAAATGCATTATTTTTTGCAAGTCCAATTTGTATGAAAGTCAACATGCAAATAAATTTCAACAAAGGAAGAAAAGAGGGATTAAGGGTCAAAGGAAGGAAAACAATTCAACAGAATGGAGGACCCTCGGGAGTCTCACCCCAGAGAGCAGGAAACCTACAGAAGAGGCTGATCGGCCAGGTCCCCGCTGTGCTACAATGGCACCAGAGATGGCTTTGATCCAACTGTGCATCTCTTCAGGACTATCAGCCTAAAAGAAAGAAAGGGCTCATTCAGTCAACGTTTCCTCAAAACTTTGTACTTCTATAAATCCAATGTATTTATTTTGGTAACATACCGTTACTGACAAAATTATTCTAGGGCAATGGTATACAAACAATATCGTAGAAGCATTTTCTCAGTAAGTTACTATACTAAGACACAAGTTCGGCACTTAATATTTCAAGATCAGACACATCAAAAAATGTTAATAATGCACACTTCTGGAAAGAAAATGAGAGAGGAAGAAATAAAGCCATTTTTTGTTCTACCCGTTACAACACTGAATCAACTACAAACACACACACACACACACACACCTCGTTATATATTTAAAACTATGATTAAAAAAACATTTTGACATTTTTTTTTATTTCTTGAAATAACTTCCTGAACTATTAAAAAACCATTGATGATCATATACCAAAGAACTCTATTTCCAGAAAAGGACAGGCTACCAACATGAATTTAAAATCTTATGAAATTACTCTAATTAAAAAAGGGCCTTTAAGGGTGCAGATACAACTTCTTGCTTCTAAAAGTTCTTGTATCTAAAAGTTCAAAAATGTTACATACAGAATGTTTGTTGAATCAATGACATTGTAACAAAGACATTTTAAAGGAAAAATTTAAGAAGCACAATTCTAGAAATCAATCTGACAAAATTAAGACTCTTGCTGATGGTTAAAACTTTACCTAGAAACATATCCTTTAAAAAAAAATTGGAAAAAAATTCAGGCATATTGTTGTCCAAAGATACAATATATATGGTAGAAGATATATGAAACAATGTACATGAACAGTTCAGACACAGAATATGGAGAAACAATTTACTTGTAGAACATCCATACACTCAAGTATGGTTTTCAGGCCATTTTTAACATATGGGAAAAAGATGACAATATGCAAAACAGAATTTAACTCTACAGCTAGTATCACCTTACTAGCTCAGACTTGTAATCCTAGCTACTCAGGAGGCTGAGATCTGAGGACCACAGTTCAAAGCCATACTGAGTAGGAAAGTCTGTAAAACTCTTATTTCCAATAGGCTACTCTGAAAAGGCTGGAAGTGGCGCTGTGGCTCAAGTGGTAAAGTGCCAGCTTTGAGCAAAAAAGTTCAGGGACAGCGCCTAGGCCCTTAGTTCAAGGCCCAGGACAGGCAAAAAAAAAAAAAAAAAAAAATAGAAAGCAGGAAAAAAAAAAGGTTCTCAAGATGGAATTGTGTATGAACTACCACTTTCTTCATTTCTCTGTAATAATAAGCATAGGTAACTTTCATGAAACAATTAACTGACGTTTTAAATATTCTATTTAAATAATCCAAACAAAAACCACATTTTAAATTTAAATACAGATGCCTACTAACAGAATATAATAATATCTACCAACTATTTTGATAGTGGGTACTGAGCCTCTCATTTTATAAAATGACCAAAAATGACATGTTCCAAAACATGTAAAGATAATCTAATCTGAAGGTATACACTTAAAATGTGAGTTAAAATATCATTTCCTTTCCTCCATATACCATTTAGTTCCATTTCATTAATTCATCATAGATAACCCATTCCTGAGCATATAACCTACCAATAACCCTTCATATACAATGATCTTAATTAAATTAATGAACTGTAGTTTCTTTTAATATCAAAAGCTACACGCTTTATTTATATTTATTTCACTTCTAAAGTTGTAGATTCCTTATGAGAAGATCTAGTCTCCAATTAAGTCTTACCTGAACATAGAAAGTTCGAGATGTTGTTACAATTTCAAATAAGTTGTCCCTCATCATTATGTCACTGTTGAAAAAAAAATTATCCAATTGCACTTAAACAGCAGTTGTTTGATTAGTCTTTCACTTGTTTACTCAGTGCCAAGTTATGAATCAAGTAAAACATTGACTTAATTTACCAAAAACCCAATTACTTTCCCATTTTTTTGGTATTAAAATGTATCTATTATGTGTAGTTAGCTGGTTTTAGAAAAGGTTCATAAGGCAACTTTGAAGTCCAAAGCTTCTAAATGTTAAAAACTAGTTTATTCAAGTCAACCACAGCCCAGCAAATATAGTTTTTCTTCCTTTTTTTTTTTTTTTTTTTTGTCTGAGAACAAGATTTGAACTCCTGATCTGATACTTTTGCCGACTGGCTGACACTCTACCACCTAAACCACACCTGCAACTTCTTTTAATTTTATATTTTTTGCTAATTTATTTTTTATAATGCTCTATTCTGCAACATCTTTTACGCACAAAAATTAGTACAAAATCTGATAGGGTCATTCTATTATATTTTTCCTTTTCATTTCTGAGTTTTGTCTTCATTTTTACAAACAAAATACTTGAATAATGGTTTTGAAAATTTTAACATATCCCAACTATGAGGAACTAAAGATAACACTAAAACCAAAATGGAAAATACATGCTATAACAAGCACATAAATGAAATTAAGGCATGGTACTGTATTACTGAGTGTGCCAAATGTATAGTCAAGAGCAGTTCCTTACCTTTGTTTACATTCCTGGACTTTATGAACCTCTTTAAGTGGTATTACTCGGAGAGGTTCCTTTTCCTGGCCAAAAAAAAATAAAAGTAAACAGATTCAGGACTTTTATTCTTAAAATCCTTTCAAGGATTTTATCTGGAATTGCATCCTTTCTTGAAGCACATCTAAAACTTAACCATTTGAACCATTCAGATTTAAAACAGCTCAAATTCTATTCTCTTAGCAGCACTGTTGTTCCAAGAGTTCAGTGCAGCTTAGTAACACCAATTAATTAGCCAGCAAGCTAGGTCCTAGGTGAACTGGGTGACTCAGTCACTACAAACACTTCCTCTCTCGGAATGCCATTTTGGCATCTGTGATCCAGCTTGACTCAAATCTGTCACATTACAAACACATCACTTTCTTATGAAAACAAGCACCACTTATCAAATGCACGTTTAATAAATGCTGAGACACCTGCTACACTTTAAATGTTTTAATCTCCCACCTTCCACAGCCTACAATCTAGGTTTATGTTGCAACTTAACTTATTCTCATAAAGAAACTGATGATTTGACATTAAACATAATTAAATATAAGAAACAAATATAGCCAGATGCCGGTGGCTCACACTTGAGATCCTAGCTACTCAGGAGGCTGAGATCTGAGGATCACGGTTCAAAGCCAGCCTGGGTAAGAAAGTCCGTGAGACTCATCTCCAATTAACCACTAGAAAACCAGAAGTGACGCTGTGGCTCAAGTGGTAGAGCACCCCCCTTGAGCTGAAGAGCTGAGGGACAGTGCCCAGGCCTAGAGTTCAAGCCCTACAACCAATAACAACAACAAAAAGAAACAAATATAAAACACATTTATTCCTAGTAGCATAGCAATAATTTTCAAAAATCCATTAAACACTAATTTGTATTTCACTAAAAATGCTGTCATGAGATTAAGATATGCCTCATTTTATGCAGCACCATGAGGAAAAAAAGTAAACCATGACAGAACATTTGTTCTTTCAATCATAAATTTTTAGAGCTTTACAAAGTAAGTTTTATTCTGAACTTCTGACCATAAGTGACTTACAAAAGTAGTACAAATTATTTCTACATACCTTGCAATTGTTTTATGTCAGTACACCTATGCATTTGTGTATAAAATATATATATGTGTGTATATAGATTATTTTTTCCTGAAATATCTTAAGGCAAGTTGTAGATAATGGTACATCTTACTACTAACTACTTGGTTATACATCGTCTAAAACATACACATATTCTTATGTGATCATGGTACAATTAGGGAACCCAGAAACTTGACAGCTACAATACTGTTATCTAATTACTACATTCTGATTTCATTAATTATCTGACAAATATCCTTTTATAGCAAAAGAAAAATGACCTCTTTTCTGTCCAAGGTTCAATACAGGCTCATATCTTATTTTTGGCTGTTATGTCTCTTAACTCTCCTTTACTGTGGAATAGTTCTTTGGTCTTTTTTCTTTTCTTTTTAGTTTTAAATTTTCTAGGCCAGTTATTTCACAGAATGTCTCCCAATTGGGTTTATCTGATTATTCAATCAGATTCAAGTAATACATTTTGACAGGAAACCACAGATATGACGCTATATTCTCAGCATATCACATTAGCAGGTGCATGTATGGGGGGCTGGCCAGATATTGGCCAGCAAATGATCTTATGCTTACTGATAGTAACTGTTCTCAGTTGCTGTAAAGTTACTTTTTCCTCTCATCACTGTTATGTTTTGGGCAAATAACTAGAGTTCATGTAGTACCCAGGTTCTCACTGTAATTTTGCCCACAAGTTTCATCAAACATGGAACAAATCTTTATTGGTGTAGTAGCTTCCAAATGGTGGTTTCTCTAGCCCTGAAAATCCATGCAACATGTTTTAAGATGGAACTGGGCTCTGAGGAGACACCTTTCTTTCTGCATATATTTATTCATGGCTCATGGATTCTCTGGGTTATAATCCATAGTTATATTTACTTTGCTGCTCAAATCTGAGTGCAGTCACTCGGAGCACCTTCACGTTGGCTACCATGTCTTTCTAACTCACAGCCGTCAGTATCTGAGACTCTAATTTCTGGCACCACTAGTTGTTCTGGGCTCAGCATGTACTTTTTTTGTCCAAGCACTGAAACCAGACAGTTCTCTAGGGATCCTGGTTCTTCTGCTTACACAATGGCATTTGTAATTGTTTGTGGAAGACAGTTTATGGAGCTCTTCAAGCAGTTACAATCTTCTCATGACAGATGAAAAGTAATAGTGCTGTTTTAATTGCATTTCTTTCATTATGAATGATGTTGACTATCTTTTCACAATTTTTTTTTTGGCCCAGGATTTGAACTCAGAGCCTAGGCACTATCCCTGAGCCTCTCTGTGCTCAAGATTAGCGCTCTACCACTTGAGCCACAGTGCCATTTTCAACTTAGTTTCTTAGTAATTTATTGGAGTTAAGAGTCTCATGGACTTTCCTGCCTGGGCTGGCTTCAAACAGCAACTCAGAGCTCAGCCTCCTGATGAGCTAGGATATACAGGTATGAGCCACCAGCACCTGGCTTCTTTTCACATTTGTAAGACCATTTTACTTTTATTTTTTAGTACTAAGGGTTGCACCAAAGGCTTTGCACTAAGTGTTCTACCACTGAATTACATCCTCAGCCCAGTTCCTTCTTAAATAAATTCTTCTTTGTTCATTCTTCTCCTACATATTTGTCCTTCTATCCCTGCTTAAAACTTCGAAACATAGGCTAAATACTAATATTAAGAAACTAATTTAGTGGAGGCACTGGAGAGTGAGTTGCTGACCTGGTCACACAATCCCTGAATACTTCAGTGTGCTTTTCCTGTAAAGCCATCCTTTCACACAATCACAACCACCAGTCAGCAAACTACCCCCAAACTGTCTTTTATTAAAGCAAACAGATTCAGCTAGTCACAGGTTCCATTCCTTCCATTAGTATAGGAGAGTTGCTCACCCGTTCCTCAACTAATAATCTTGAAGACACAACAAGATATCTTGTTTGGTAGTATGTCCCTCATTTTTCCATGTCTGATGTTCCTTTAGGATTAAACTCAGATTATGTACCTTCAGCCAGTGAAGGGACTGAAGTAATGTTGCACTTAGTGCCGTAATTCCTGTCAGGTGGCTTTAATTTCTCACCATCAATGAAGTTCTGAAAAGGCTGGCTGCCTGCCAAGGAAGTGACTACCAGCCAAGTCACTGAATGTTACCTTTTGTGCTCAGTTTTCGACTTTGTAGATAGGTGTTTTGTAACTATGTAAATAGCTCATCCCTCAACATATACATACATGCATTCACCATTCTACTATTTACTTACACTGGTTTGGGCTCCTGAAGTCCTATTTCATTTAGAGGGCTATAATCTGTATTATCGAATTTTGTATTTTGATGCTCTGCTCCTAATTTGGTGAGGGGAATGTTTTCAAAGTGACCTTATCATTCCATAAAGATCACAGTCCAGGCCATTCTGAGAAAAAAGCAAGACCCTATCTCAAAAATAACCAGAGAAAAATGATTGAGGGCATGGATGAAGCAATAGAAAATCTACCTAGCAAGATGGAAGCCCTCAGCAGAAAGCCCTACTAGACAATGTCACCTTGATCCCTTCATTTAAATAATGTACATGGTTCTTCTCTCAATGATACCATGTAACTACATTAATTTATAGAACCATCTATTATTGAAATCATATCACCTGACAATTTTTACAATTTTTTTTTTTTTTTGTCAGTCATGGGGCTTGAACTCTGGGCTTGGACGTTGTCCCTCAGCTCTTCAGCTCAAGGCAAGCGCTCTACCACTTGAGCTACAGCGCCACTTCCGGTTTTCTGGTGGTTTATTGGAGATGAAGAGTTTCACGGGCTTTCCTACCCAGGCTGGCTTTGAACTACGATCCTCAGATCTCAGCCTCCTGATTAGCTAAGATTACAGGTGTGAGCCACTGGAGCCTGGCTCACCTGACAATTTTTAATAATGCTACTTGGACCAGTGGAAGAGAATTCTTATTTTCTGAGTCTACCTTCAGATAGGTCAAACCGTCTCATGTAATCCAACTTAGGAGTCAATCTGATCTAGGAAAAGAAAATATCAAGAGAGGGCTGAGAAGAAATGCAGAAATACAAAGGTTTAAATACTGACCTTCCAACTATGCTTCCAATGCCCCTACAGAGGAAATTTACAGATGAGGAGGTACTAGTAATTTTAGATCTTTCAAGACAGAATGCTTCTTTGAAATCAAAACAGTTTTATGTAAGATATGTTTAAGAATATTCTATTAGCCAAAGAAATCACAACAAAGTAAAATGAACTATCAGTGCCTCAAAACCAGAATTAGATTATTCTAAAAATAGAGAATGGCATAAATCATACAATTACTACATTTCTTAACCATTTGTAAAGCAATATTTGGGACACAGCAACATACCAGTTCTGATTTGAAGTAGCCTATTGTATTTTCATCCAACTGAAAGTATCTTCTTTTCCAGTTTTTCATCTACCAGAGATGAATACAGATGTGAGACTTCTAAGAATGCCAAATGTTAATGACTACTTAGTTCCATTATGAACCCACAGTCAGAAGTGCCAAGTTCTGAGAAGCCTTGCAATCTTCCCTTTGTGAGGTGGTAAATAAAACATTGTTTCTTTTGGTAATGAGGCCTTCAAACTTTTGGTAATTGGTTTTCATATTTGATTAATGGTACTATGATATTTCATAATTTTTTGGATTTTTTTTTTTTTTTGCCAATCCTGAAGTTTGAACTCAGGGTGTGTTCACTGTCCCTGAGCTTCTTTTGCTCAAGGCTACCCACTCTACCACTTGAGCCACAAAGCAAGGCTACCACTCTACTACTTGAGCCACAGAGCCACTCTGAGCTTTTTCTGTTCATGTGGTACTGAGGAATCGAACCCGGGAGTTCATGTATGCTAGGCAAGCACTCTACCACTAAGCCACATTCCTAGTCCAATATTTCATAGTTTTAATGCTCAAGTAAAAAAAAGATAAAAGTATTTCCTTTCCTTCCTACCACCTAAACCCCACAAAGCAAAGAGCAAGCACAGGAAATGTTATTTAACCACATCAGGTTTTTCCATTTATAAAACTTACAAATCTTTCTTCAAGTAGTTTATACATAGGAATAAAGCAGTAAGTACATAATAAAATGAATCTAGAAAGGAAACATTTAAGGAACATCTTACACAAGTTTTTTTGTCACTGAACTAAAATATCTCAAAGTTACTGATATTGTAGACTTGGTAAACAAAAGGGGCTATCTCCCTAAAAACTCCAATTAGCATACACACAGTGTGCATCAAAGAATTTTGTGAGAGAATTCTGACTCTAGTGTCCCATAAATACTCCACAGTGAAAATCTTCAGGTGCTTGCCTTCAATTTCTGAGACTGGAAGCATCACTTTTTGTACTGTCAGAAATTGATGAGCAGTCAAATAGGAGAGTTTGATGCATTTTACTCATGACATTCGAAAGATTTAGTTCACATAGAAAAAATAAATTTTTAAGTACTTTTTTTTTTCTAAGACAAGGTCTTCCTATTCAGTCTAAGCTGGTCTGGAACTCATGAATCTCCCAAGTGCTGAAGATCACAGGTATGTGCTACAATATTAGATTACAGGTATATACTCTACCAGGCAGAAAAGTACCTTAGATCTTTAATAACTTCGTCATAGAGCTGTCTGTGTAGGAATACCTGGGCTAACTTGTAGCACTCTCACTAGGGAGTACCAGGTACTATCTCAATGTATACACTGGTCATTTACATCTTTCAAAAAACACTAGGCTGTAGGTTTTATAAAATAGTTTTCTTTTCAACTGGACATCAGTTATCCTAGCTACTCAGGAGGCTGAGAGCTGAGGACTGTGGTTCAAAGCCAGCTCTGACAGGAAAGTCTATGAGTCTCTTATTTCTAATTAACCACCCCTCCCCCAAAAAGGCCAGAAGTAGTGCTATGGCTCAAGTGATAGAGCCCTGGCATTGAGCAAAAAAAAGGCTCAGGGACAAGTGCCCAGGCCCTGAGTTCAAGCCCCAGAACCAGCACCAAAAATTTAAATATATACATAAATATTTGATAACATATTATGCATAATATCAAATAGTATATTATATTGAATATTATCTCATATACTATATAACATAATTATATAATACATAACATATATTATATATTTAAAATGTATAATTTATTGTATATTAAAATATACTATATTATATTCATATGTGTAAATATATTTAAATTATTGTTTAAAATATACAAATATATATTATATATGTATGTTACATATACATATTATATATACATATATGTATATATGCATATATACATGTATATATATATATAAATTTGTTTTTTTTCTTCTCAAAAGAATCTAGAAGCCTACAAGTTTAAGTAACACCACTCACAATAGCTTTCCATGGAACTCAGTCAAACAATAGCAGGTCCTGAGCCCTGGGCCTACCATCTTCCCTACTGTAGGCACAGTGAGCTCTTTCCCTGACCTATTATTGGGGAATGGTAATGGTGGTGTGGAATCAACAGAAAAACTTTCTGAAAACTGTTAAGAAAGCTCAGTGGAAACAGGAAAGAAGAGCACTGCATTCATGACAAACAGAACAAGACCCTCTCTAGGTCCCAACTCTTTCTGGCATTCTAGTCTCCACTATAGGTGTTTCATAAAATAAAGCAAACACTTCAATGTTAACCTGCAAGCTTTCCTGGCATGTGCTCATCTGTGATCTCTTCACATTTGTTCAGCTACTCACCACTGCTCCTTGTTTTACACAATATCCAGCTTTGATAACAGCACTGTCTGGAGGTGGTTTAGGAGGAAAGTAGGTAAGATGGCTTTGTGACCGCTTCAAATTATTTCTGTCAATACTTTCACCACATTCATTTACGTCTTCTTTCTAAAATAAAACACAACAAAAAGATTATTGTCGTGCTTATTTAGCATTCAAAACCTTCCTTCACTTCATGTTAACCTGGCAGAAAATCTCTCTCAGGGAAGTAAGGAACAGAGATTTTAAAGTAAGAATTTTTTTAATTAACTGGAAATACTTCATAACCTTTCTGCCATTCATTAGTGCACAAATTTCTACTTCTTTGCTTCTACTAATTCCTACATCAGTACTTTTTCTTGAAGGGAGAGGCTTTTTATTTTGAAATAATTATAAAAGATGCATAAGAAGCACCAAAAAGTGGGGGAAACCATTAAACTAGCCAGGCGCTGGTAGCTCATGCCTGTAATCCTAGCTACTTGGGAGGCTGAGATCTGAGGATCACTGGTTCAAAGCCAGCCCGGGCAGGAAAGTCCCTGAGACTATTATCTCCAATCAACCACCAGAAAATTGGAAGTGGTGCTGTGGCTCAAGTGGGAGAGCACTAGCCTTAAGCAAAAGAGTTCAAGGACAGCGTCCAGGCCATAAGTTCAAATGCCATGACTGACAATTTTTTTTTTTAAATCATAAAACTACACCAAACTAAACAACCACATAAGAGTCCTTCAATCAGAGTCCCCCAACAGGAACATTATATCTACAGAACACATTACCAAAACCAAGAAGCTGCTATTGGTACATTCCACAAACTGCATTCAGATTTTAATAGTTTTACAAGGACTTATTTGTTGTGGGTACATGCACAGATCTGTGCCACCATCACCACAATCAAGACACAGAACTGTTTACCATCACCAGGTTTTCTTATGCAACCTTACCCCTAATTCCTCAAAACCATTCATTTGTTCTCTAGTTCCGTAATTCTGATGTAAGTAGAACCATATAAAAGGCAATCTTTTGAGTCTTCTTTTTTTTTTGCCATTCAACATGACTCATTCAGGTTGTTCCTTCTACCAATCACTATTTCTTTTTAGTGCCACATCTCATGTAAGGACATACTACCAGTTGGTAATCACACACCATTAAAGGGCATGGGAATTGTTTCCAGCTTTTGACTACTAGGAATAAAGCTTCTATGAACATTCATGTACAAGGTTTCACATGGATATAATTAGCCATTTCTTTAAGATGATGGATTAGGAATGCAAATGTTGGGTTGAAAACTGCAAATTTACTTTAATAAAAATATATTTACCAAACCTTTATAGAGTAGCTGAACTATTTTACATTTCCCCCAGCAACAAATGGAGATAAGGTTTCTCTTCGTCTTTGTTAGTACTTGCACTGATTTCTGACAGGTTGTGTTTTATGGTTTTATGTTTTATGTCCCAAAAAGTACTGGCTTCCTGTTTGTTTATACCAGCCAATAATCTAGAATCCTACAAATAAGGCAAATGAATATTTTTTTTTGGCAAATGAATATTTTTAAGAAGTCCTAAAACTCAAGAGAAAAGTTGTGTTAGCTGTCATACACATCTTGAGGAATTTTTCACCTGTTTTATATTTAGGTGAACAATAGTAGGTACTTTTTAATCCTAGTACTTAACTATTTACCCAATACTTGACAAATAAATTAATCATGCAAATGATAGTTAACATTTTTTGATACTAAATTACCTAAATGCTTTCAGAATGAGCAAATAAAACTTTATGATTTTTTTTTTTTGGTCGTGGGGCCTGAACTCTGGGCCTGGGTGCTGTCCCTCAGCTCTTCTGCTCAAGGCTAGCGCCCTACCACTTGAGCCACAGTGCCACTTCCGGCTTTTTCTGCTTATGTGGTGCTGAGGAATCGAACCCAAGGCCTCATGCATGCAAGGCAAACACTCTACCACTGAGTCACCTTCTTAGCCCAAAACTTTATAATTTTTAAAAATTATATTATAAAATAAGAAAGCAATGAATTTGTTTATAATTCTTTAAGGCTATCTCCCAAGGAATCCAAATTATTAAACAACATTAACTACTATAGTATCTTAATACAAGTACAGATAAACAGAACTACCCTTAATATTAATGCAATATAACATAGGGAATGCTTAGTTTAGCTATATATCAACAGGTTAAAACCATTACCTTTGGAATAAGCAAACATTCATTTTATTTTTTAAAAATCTAAGATTGGTAATAACTAAACGTTCTTGCTAGAGCAAGGATTTTTATTAATATGTCCCTTGTCAAATATAAAAAAAGCTTTTCATAATTAATGTTAAGATTTCTTTCCATTAATCATTTTTCCCTGGCAAAAGACCTGGAAGATAAAATATATAACTTTAAGGTCTACAATATTAGTCTTTAAAGTTCAAGAGACATAAAAATAATAAAAATGCCCAGTGATTTCTTTTAAAATGTTGATTTCTCAACTACTAAGAATTTAATTTGCATTACAAATTCTCACAAACATTAAATTCATAGAAATTTGAATTTCACTTAAGAAAGTATATATTAGTATTTTGTTCCTACTACCTGAGCAATACTTAATTTAGCTATAGGTGCTTCTGAGATAAAATTAAGTCAAAGTTCCACTTCTCTGTTTGTTTGGCTTATGACTTCAGGTTGTAGAAAAAAACAGGCTTTAAAAAATGGCATATATTTACAAACTGTTAATTCAGCAATTTCATTTCCAGGAACTTATTCTTTAGAAAAATCATCTGTAGCTAGGTGCCAGTGACTTATGTCTATAATCCTTGCTACTTGTAGGCTGATCACAGTTTGAGCTAACCTCAGCAGATTTCGCCTCAATGAAGAGAAGTTGGACGGTACCACCTGTCATCCCAGATGACAGGAATCCTAAAATGGGCAAAGAGAGGTGCAGGCATGCGCTTGGACAGGAAGTGAGACTACCTTAAAAATAACAAGTATACAAAAGAGGTGGAGCTGTGGCTCAGCGGTAGAGCACCTGTCTACCAAGTGCAATGCTCTGAGTTCAAACACAATACCACCATCAAAACAAGACAAAACAACAACAAAAAACTAACCTGTGTCCCTAAAATTTAAGACATTAAGAATGTTCATTGAAGTATTGTTTATATAAGAAAGATGAAAGAAAAAGAGGGGAATAAACTTCTACATTTCTAATCACAGAAGATTTGTAGATTATGTAACTCCATGGCAGAACTAATTCTTGGAGGCCCGGCACTCATGCCTGTAATCGTAGCTACTCAGGAAGCTGAGATCTGAGGACCGCAGTTCATAGTCAGCCTGGGCAAGAAAATCCCAGAGCTTATCTCCAATTAACTACCAGAAAACCAGAAGTGGCACTGTGGCTCAAAAGAGCTAAAGGTACAGCTCCCAAGGCCCAAGGCAGGCCCCAGAACTGACAAAATAAATAAATAAATAAATAATGCAGGATAACTTGATCACTAGGAACTTGTTCGTAATGTAAGTGAAAAACACCAAAAAATTTTACAATCAACATATGTTTTTGAAAATAAAAGACTTTGTAGTAATTTAGTAATGAACTAACTAGATAAAATCCATCGATTTAGGGTTTTGTATTGTTAGTCAGTTGTTTGGCTTGACCTCAGGACACCTGGATGCTATTCCTGAGCAATTTTGCTCAAAGCCAGTGCTCTACCATTTTGAGCAACAACTCTACTTCTGGTTATCTGATAGATAACTGAAGATAAGACTTTCAGGGACTTTGCTGCCTGGGCCGGCTTTAAACTGTGATCATCAGATCTTAGCTTCCTGAGTAGCTAGGATTACAGGCTTTAGCCATCGGAGCCCGGCTGTTTTAGTTTTGATGACAATATAAACATCAATGTGCAATGAGCCCCTCACATAATAGGAGAATGAATTTATTACCTGAGTTGGAGTAATGATGGGTACACCACCAACAATATCAGTTCTGTAAGACACCTGCTTCTTCCCACCTTCACCCTGGCGATTCAGGTTGTCAGAATTAGGCTGTGAGTCTGACTGCTTTGGTACCTGAAATAGTAACATGATTCATTTTGTAAACAGATTATTTATGAAACTGTCTTTTTCTGTTCTTAACTGTTTATATATAACTGATAGGTATGTACAAGACATTTACAATGTTGTACATGTGCTTCAAGCTCTCCCATGTTATTTTCTGCTCCAATCTGCTTTACAATAGTACAGCATCCCTTATCAAATGCTTGCTTGTACAGGTACTATTCCAAACATGTTCTCATTCCTCCTGTTGCTAACCCTATGCACAGGGCAATACATCCATTTGAGAAATAAGGAAACAGTTAGGCACAGTGGCTCAAATCTACAATCCCAGATACTTAGGAGACAGATGCTGAGAGAATCATGGTTTAAGGCTAGCCTGGACAAAAATTTGCAATGCCCAATCAACAAATAAGCTGGATGTGGTGATGCACAGGAAGGATAGGTAGAATTGTGGTCTAGGGTTGACCCCAGCAAAAAATTATCCCAATCTAAAAGATAACCTAAAGGATTGGAAGCGTGTCTCAAATGACAGAGCACTTGCCGAGCAAAGGGCCATGAGTCAGTCCAACACTGTACTGTCAATAACTAATTAATCAATTAATTACGTGGAAGCTGAGAGCCATTAGGGAATACAGGTTTCCCAAGTTGTGAAAACTTGTTCAAAACTCAAACACCATCATCTAGATCCTGCTGATTAGAGCACTTAACTTTGGGTCACAGAATATATTAAAAAAAGCAGTGGGGGGAAAAAACCAAAAATCTTTAACATATATCAAAAATCAAAATGTTTTAACTAGCATTCTCTTTTTCAAGAAGTTTTAAGTTTAGCTATACATGGGAATTTCAGGGAAAATTATTTAATATAACCCTAAAAGTACACTGAAATTTCTATTAGTTTTTCCATTTTTTTTTCTGGGAGCAACAGTATATTTAAAACCCTTGCCTATGCTATTAAATCAAATGCTTCCACTTTATCATTATAATAAAATCATATTAAATATCACATATCAATGTTAAAGTCCAATATTCACTTAGAATTACATTTTTACAATAAAAATTATCTAAATTGTAATCATCTCACTCCTTAAAAAAGGAGAACATTCAAGCAAGATATCATAAATACAGTCAACTCCCTCAAAAACTATAAACAACTGAATGAAAAGTTAACTAAATTTAGATGTGTAATCATTTTCAGGACAACCACACATGCACAGTGCCCCTAAATCAGCCAACTGTTAATGAGAATCCGAAAAGTAATCCATCCCCCATGGCAGAAACCATGTCAAGAACTGAATAGGCTTGGTTTTTTCTGACTGTTGTCTTTCCTAGTTTTCTATCTTTTTTTTTTTTTAAACAAGACTGCTTCTCATGAGAGATTCGAATGCATTTTTAGCAGGTATTTGTTTGTTTGTTTTTTGCTTATATGGTGCTGAGGAATCAAACCCAGGGCCTCATGCATGCAAGGCAAGCGCTCTACCACTGAGCCACTTTCCCAGCCCTAGCAGGTATTTGTATACAATAGAAAATTCTAATACTAAAAAAAAGGGTGAAATGACTGAAGAATATGGAGATGACTACAACAAGACTTCAATATTTATAACCGAAAAAAGTTAAAATGCTGCAGATTTCTCAAAAATAAAAGGGAAAATTAATGTTCAATTCATCAAGAATAATGAGAGTAAATAAAGATGGAAACTGAAAATGGTTAGATACAAACTCCCAGCTAATAATATCTTTTAATGTCATATCCTATCCCTAACCAGACCGGCTAACACTTTTGCGCAGGTAGGGCATCTTGTTAAAACCAAACTCTTATATTTAGCTTAACTCTTCTACTTGTTCCCAATTAATATTTTTAAAAAAAAGAAAGAAAAAGGTTCATGAGTTTTGTCCCAATTTCAAAAAAACTAATTTTTACATTAAAATTTGTATTCTTTTTTATTTTTTTGGTCAGTCATGAGGCTTGAACTCTGGGTCTGAATGCTCGCTGTTGCTCAGCTCTTCAGCTCAAGGCTAGCGCTCTACCACTTGAGCCACTGCACCACTTCCGGTTTTCTGAGTGGTTTATTGAAGATAAAGTCTCACAGACTTTCCTGCTGGGCTGGCTTTGAACCGTGATCCTCAGATCGCGTAGCTAGGTTCAGTAGCTAGAAGCCTGGCTGGAAAAATACACTTTAGAAACAATGGAAGGCTGAGTGCCAGTTCATGCCTATAAGCCTAGCTACTCAGGAAGCTAGGATCAAAGTCAGTCTGTGCCAGAAAGTTGAGATTCTTATCTCCAATTAACCACCAAAAAGCCAGAAGTGGAGCTGTGGTTCACATGGTATAGCACTAGCTTTGATCTCACCCTACATAAAAATAACTAACTAAAACCTGTGGATTTCTGTTTAGGATTAATCATAAGCCATCTTGAATATTCTTTTTTTTTTTTTTTTTTTTTGGGGGGGGGGGGGTCCGGTCATGGGGCCTGAACTCAGGGCCTGGGCGCTGTCCCTCACCTCTTCAGCTCAAGGCTAGCGCTCTACCACTTGAGCCACAGCGCCACTTCCGGCTTTTTTCTTTTTGCTTATGTGGTACTGAGGAATCGAACCCAGGGCCTCACGCATGCAAGGCAAGCGCTTTAACACTGAGCCACCTTCCCAGCCCTTGAATATTCCTTAATATCAAAAAAGGACCTAACACTCTGAGAACAAATAAACAGATGCAAATATACCTTAAATATTGATTTTTCCAGACGTCAGTCACAGATACTCCCTTTAGGACGAGTTCCTCTAAGCCTGGCACTGGTGGCTCATACCTGTAATCCTAGCTACTCAGGAGGTTGAGATCTGAGGATCGTGGTTCAAAGCCAGTCTGAGCAGGAAAGTCCGTCAGATTCTTCTCTCCAATAAACCACCAGAAAACTGGAAGTGGCACTATGGCTCAAATGGTAGTGTGCTAGCCTTGAGCTGAAGAGCTGAGGGACAGGGCCCAGGCCCAGAGTTCAAGCTCAACAACCAACAAAAAAAAAAGACTGGTTCCTCTATTTTTGCTCTTTTTTTATAATAATAATACTAGTAATAGGAAAAGAATTTAAAATGCTGATCCACATTCACACAGACTTTGGCAAAGTAAAGAAATGCAGGCCATGGTGCTGGAGAACAGTTCACTAAGATGACAAAAACTACTGGAAGTACAAGGTAATAGCTAACCACCATTCTCTCACCCATTCCCCTCTAACAATCTCTATGTTGAAACCACTAATTCTCAAACTCTAATTTTGGATTTCTAAAAATTTTCACTCAACAGACCACCAATTACAGTTGACCAAAATGTTATTTGGAGTGATTCCATAGGAAAGCAAGCTGCACATGTATTAAAATAGAAACTAATTTTTCAAAGAATTTAAATATAAACCATCAGCAATTGGTTAAAAAAAAGGTGATCACTATTTTTTTCTTAGAATACTAAGAAACCATTGTTTATTATTACAAATTATAAAAACTGGATTTAATAAAATTACTACATACTATCTTTCTACAGAAATTTTCCAAGTAGGGAATAGTTATAAAGAGAGTTATGGATCAACTAAAATTTTTGAAGAATATATACTTCTGAACCATTTCAAAACATTGCTTTCCTGAAACTGCACAAACCCAAAATAACTTCTGCTTCATGTACAGATCAGATGTGGTGTGTGGGCGTTTTCTGTCATGTGGTAACAAGCTGTTCTGTTGCAAGACAGAAAACTCAACCTAACTCTGAAAACAGATTTAATTATATTAACCCTTTATTGTGTTATACAAACAGGGACTCATACATTTCAGATAGACACTAGCCGTGATTAATATATGCTGAATTTCAAGGCACAGATTTAGGGACAGTAAATACGTACATTTTAGTAAACACACATCAACTGATCCCATACAGGAACTCCTTCCCAAGCTGTTCCAGGCAGCCTACGACATGTTTTTCTATGTGTCTAAGGAAAATGCCTAGCAAGGCTCAGGGAGTAGATCCATGTACTTGCTCAGTAGCAGCAGTAGGAAACTTGCTTTGGTTTTACCAACAAAAGTTATCGGGTGAAGGCTTTTTCTTCACTGCACTTCAGAGTGCAGGCTCCAGAGCCTGGTAGGCTAGCCTAGGCTCCTCATCTCCTTGTTACAAGTAACTCAATCTTTCTATACCTTGCAGTTTTGTTTGTTTTGGAGGTTGACAGTCATGGGCTTCTACTCAAGGCCTGAGTGCTGTCCCTAAGCCTTTTTGCTCAAGGTTAGCACTCTACCACCTTGAGCCACAGTACCACTTCCAGTTTTCTGGTGGATAAGTGGAGACAAGTGTCTCACAGACTTTCCTGTATGAGCTGGCTTTGAACCATGATCCTCAGATCTCAGCCTCCCAAGAAGCTAGGATCACAGCACCCAGCTTAAACCATACTTTCTTCCAGTGTCTGCACAATAAAACCATTAGTCCAAAGCCTAGAGTATGATGTAAAGCCTCAGGAAATGCTAATGTTCATTAGAAAACCAAACAGAAAAAAAAGGCTAGAAGGGTATAGATTATAATGTTGAAAAGAGTGCAAAGGTACCAACCCCTGGAACTCAAGGAAGAAGTTGGGAGCTTGACACAACTAATCAGGGCCACAGGGCTGTGTGCTACCTAGTCCTGTACTTAATCTTTCAGCCATTCAACTCCACTGTCCTGCTCCCACATTCATGGCTTCATAGACAAGAATGCTTATGCCCATCACCCAAGTAGTGGCAGGACTCCAGAAGTAAAACTCATGCCCTTCAGGCAACACTCTCCATGCTACTAGAATCTTCCCCACAAACATTACTTAAATCTACAATAATATCTTTTTTATTTATTTTTTTGTCAGTCATGGGGCTTGAACTCTGGGCCTGAGCGCTGTTCCTGAGCATTTCAGCTCAAGGTTAGCACTCTACCACCTGAGTCACAGTGCCACTTCCTGTTTTCTGGTAGTTAATTGGAGATAAACGTCCTATGGACTTTCCTGCCCACCAGGCTGGCTTTGAACCTTGGTCCTCAGATCTCAGCTAGGAGTACAAGCGGAGCCACTGGCGCCTGGCAATAATATTCATCTTTATAAGGCACTTGATAGGTGAAAACATTTACAGGCCAATGAAAGGGCTGAGAGTCTCCAAGAAATTGTCTTCACTTTCATCTTTTTAAGGAAGCTGAAGTATGAAATCTGTGGCAAGCTGATGACATTCAGTAAAGCTATTTTCAAAGTACGAAGATTACTTCCATATAGTAAAAACTTTAAAAAAAAACTTACTGTAATTTTTATAGCTTTGTTCAAGACGTTTACCCATTCTACTAGGTCTTGCTGATCATTGGCTTGTAGAAAATACTTCCTCATTCCAGCATTCATCACTGTCGAGAAAAAAGAAACATGAGATATTGTACTTGTTACTTCCACATTCATGCTTGCAGCAGCTGAAAAATCTTGCTAGATTTAACATAACACACGCTTTGGCTATCTCCAGTTTTTGAAATTAGATAAAATATCACAATGAAACATCACATATGCATCTCCATAGCTTGACTAACATTTCTATAGGATAATTTTCCTGACAGTTTTACTGAGTCACGGAGAATTCACATTTGCAATTTTTGTAGGTATTAGCAAACTGTCTTCCAAATTGCATATGAAAAGTCATTCACTTAATACCCTTAACCAGGCCTGGTTTCTAGCACTTAGGCTAATTATATAGCTCTTGTTCTCAACCCCAAGGCTCTGGACAGTGGGTCTAGGAATCTGCAAACACCAATCCCTAGGTTTCATGTTCTGCCAGTAGTAAGTAGTGACAGGGTCACAGAAAGTAGAATTGAGGAGGGTGAGATTGGCTGGCTCTAATCTTGATGATCTCCCTCCAACAGCAGCACAGAACCACCAGTAGCACAGAACCACAGTGCTAGAGCCTTCAGATACCCGACCAGCCTTGAAGGGTCATGAGCTCAACTTTCTGCTCCTCCACACTATTTCCTCTTTTATCTCTCCACCTCTGGAGAGCTACTTCAGATAGGTTCTAATTTCGGGATTATTTCAACATTCTCTTTGTGCTCTCTCAACCTTTCAACATTTAGATTACCAATTCCCCAAGACAATTCTCTTGGAACTGCAGTATCTCATGTTCTCTTGCCTATCTCCACTGACACAGCACTCTGACACCTTAATCAGTGGACAATTATACCCGTGAAATTTCTTTGATTGCTGCAAAAGTCATTTTTTAATGTCTGTCACTTACATTTGTTTTGTGACAGTTGTGTACATCTTATTAATATACCTGCGTAGTTTACCACTAATTCATGGGAGCTTTTATAGTCCTTCTTTCTGTTGTATTACAAGCACTGTTCACAGCTGCCACTTTATTTTCACACTGTTCACAGTATCTCTCATCAAGCAGAAACATTTTATCAATGTTTTTTCCTTTAATGCCTCTCCATCCCAAATATTTAGAAAACCCAGCTAAGTTAAGATAATAAAAACTGCAATACATTTGTGGAGTTTTAATGTAATTTGCACTGACCTCTCAAGAACTGGGTTTGTTTACTTTATAAAACAAAGAACATCTAAATGTACAGTTGTCTGCAAACTACCAGTCAGCTTTTGAATTAAACTTACTTACTATATATCTTATGTATTTATTTGGAAAAACATAAATACTATTCAAGGAGCTAAGGTTTCTAATCAGCTACACTGTTCCTTTTATTCAAATGTAAAAATGACTTCCCGAATCTCCAAAACTTTACTTTTTTTTTTTTTGTGAACACACTGTACAGAGGGGTTACAATTACATGGGCAGGTTAATGCGTACATTTCTTATCAAGCATTGCAGCCTCCTCTTTTGTTTACCCTTCACATCCCTTCCTAGCCTCCCCCCAACCCCCCCACCCAATCCTCCCCGCTTCCCCCCCAACATTGTAAAGCTCGTTTTCAACATGACAACTTGTACTTCTCATTGTTGCAACAGGTCCACCTGTATCCTTAAACGACTTGTTTTTCCCCATCTCCTCTACAAGTTATACTGACATCAAATATAGTGAAAGCAGGGGTTATACTGTGGGGGAGGGACATACAAAGCTACAAAGAGATAATCTTATAAATGCGTTAGAAACAAATGCATGAAAGGAAAAAAACATTAAAATACATATCAACTTTACTAACTTTAATAACACCCAAATGAACATGACTAAGAGAAGTGGGAAATGAAGACCCTCAAGGAAAAACATTATTTTCTCAAACACACAAGATTTTGAAAGTAGGACTATGATCAAAGCACTCTAACCTAGACCTTCCTGGTGAGCTGAAAGTCTCAAAAAGGAAGTCAAAGGCCTATCTTGTGAAGTGCTATAGAACGAGGCTGGAAACAAGGAATTTCACACATTGTAAGCTGTTCTTTACCCTTGTAAGATGGAGAAACTGTAAATACTATAAATATATTTTAAGATTAACACCTCACTAGGACAATACATCTGTCAACAAATAATTTATTTTTAATTCCTAGCAATGCTTTTGCATTCCAGTTTGGACTCAAAGTGAGCTCTCCTCCTAATTGTTTTTCTCAATGCTGGGCTGGGCATCTATTCAGAACACTATAGAGTTTGAAAATCTAAACATTTATTAATAAATTACAGTACCTGTTACACAATAAATGAATATTGTACATATTTCGAAACAAATAATATTTAGATAAGAACCTTTCTTTTAGGAAGAGAGAGGCCAATATGCCTCTACAAAAGACTCTTGATGGATGGAGACGCAGTCCAGTGATAAAGCACTTTCTAGCATGCACAGGTTTGGGGTTTTCCCCCAGGACTGAGAGAGATTATTAACATATCTTATGATCAAAATAAAAACTCGTTATTATTTCATGACAAAAGTGGCATAGAGATCTACTGTACAAAAATCCAAGTCTGGAATCAGTTTTGGTCTTACAATTACTGCCATCTCATAAATATCATTTGATCTCTCTGCATTGTTTTTCTCATCTACAAAGTGTGAGTGCCATCCATCCCTTCCTTGAGGAGTGATAACAATCTCCCCATCACCATACTCTGTAGATTTCCAAAGGTTATGTAAGTATTGTGGAAAACATACAGCAAATTACTGAAAGTGGTATGTGTGCAATGGAGGAACAGGTAGAAGGAAAGGGAGAAAAAGCTCTGCATAGTAAAAGACAGAACTAGGACACTTGAAGTTGCTACCCTTTAGCAAGGGTTTCATCAGGAATAATGTGCATCCCCAGAGGCTTGTGCAGTTTCTGCCTTTTCATATGAGTGTTACTTCTAATCTTTACCATGAGATGAAAAGCAAACAGATAAAAACTAAAGCAGAAACATTATCTTAATTGCAAACAAAACTCTTCTCACAGGATAGGATTTACTGGTTATAGCTCAAATGTGGCTACAAATCAAGAAGTAATGAGACCTTTTATCGTATTTTCTCTATTATCTATTCTTTATCATCTTGTCTGTGAGATGTTGGACTTCAGTGATAAGGGTATAATTTTCTTACTTTTCTCCTATTACCTCCCTTTACCATTGCTCCACTTTTTTTAACTTTCCTGATTTTTACACATTGCTTCATGTTCATTTCCTATGTATTTGATAACTGTCCTCAAATATTAAATCATCTTTGATTGGCAGTTCATATTTTAAAAGGAGGGACTATAAAGACTCATTGGGCACTTTCTTGGGATGTGGAGTTGCTAACTTGTAGAGTTCACCATACAGCAAATTCTCCTACTAGAAATGTCCAGATGGCAGTGCCAGTAGGGTTCTTCTTGAGGGTACCCAGGTTTTATTCCACCTACATCTGGCTGCACATTCTCTGGGCTACCTGCAGGGCACAGGGCTATCTGTGCCATTTCACTTCATCCTCCTGGTTTCACTTTTCTTATTTCTGTCCCATTTTCTTGTCTCTGTCCTATTTGATGCTTAGCTCCTTCCCTTTTCTGAGACTAGAATCTGCAAGGATATAGCACCTCATTAATTCTATTTCTGGAGATACCACACACCTCATTGCCCACTGGGATAGGGGAAAGGTGACTGCTCACCTAATCCAGACAAAGGTAAGAACTAAGGTTTGTTTTAAATACAGTCATTCAAATAAAATCTGTTTTTCAGATTTTCCTCACTGTTACTTCCCTCAAAAGTGTATTTCATTACCTAAGTGATGCAGAGTCAGGGTGAGGTAGGACCATGAAAATGTTAGCTTTTTATTAGTGTCTTCCTCTTTCTGCCAAGTCATTTCCTATTCCCCATCCACTCTCCACAATTATATAACAAGGGGCACACAAACATGTCTCCTACTTTCATCAAAGACAGTTTGAATGCTTCTTCCCACATGCTTTGTTTTGGGACAAGCTGAGAGGAGATACGTTGCCAATTCCAAAGGAAATCTCTCTTTCTCTCTCTCTCTAAAAGCAAGCATTTTATGAATGTTTTTCCTATTCCCACTAGTATTAGAGGTCTAAGAAACTACAGAAAGACTAATCTTAACCTTTGTTCTAACATCATGTTTTCTAAATAGGAACAATTTTGAATGTTGAGTCTATTACTTTATATTATTCCTTCAAACTATGAGATTTGAAATTATACAGAAAAATGTCTGAAGTATGTACATTATCTACATTATCTATTCTAAAATACGAAGTTCTTTGTTACTTGACTTGCCCCAGTAGCCTTCATTTACAAAGCTCTAAGGCATTTTCTCAGCAACCAAAATTAAGACATGTGGTAAACATTTATTTTAAAAAATGGTTTCACAGTAATGATAAATGCATGATAGAAGATTGTCTGAACAGTCCTATTTTATCCTGCTTATACTTTGCCCAAGTGGATATGTAGAACTGCCATCAGATAAATAGGATTATCACTTTTTTTCTAAATATAAAAGAATTGGTTTATTATAGATCACATGCATAAAACTGTACAAACAATAAATTTTAAAAGTTTAACATTTAAAGAGATAGTCTATATTTGAGCCATACCACACTTGTATCACTGAAAAATTCTGTCCTCATCTTTCAGGTGCTGGGCTAGCTTCTGAGCTCTGTTCTGCTGAACAGTTTTTTAGAGGGCATTTGGCTTACTTTTCTGTCAAATCTAAGAAACTTTAAAACTTAAGTTGACTTCTACTTGTCAGAAAGACAGTCTTCTACATGCTGCAATAACTATCACTACCTGCTTATAGAGTTAGTGTCACTGGTGACAAACAGGAAGTGGCCATGTCCTCACTAGTGGAGGGCTCCAAAGGACTGTCATTCTTTTTTTTTTTTTTTATTGTGAAAATATCGTACAGAGGGGTTACAATCACATGGGCAAGGTAATGAGTACATTTCTTATTAAGCATTGTTGCCTCCTCCTTTGTTTCCCCTTCACATCCCTTCCCATCTCCAACCCTCCCTCACCCCCACCCCCAGGACTGTCATTAACAGCCTGCAAAGGAAAACTGGGAATGCGGCTCAAGTGGCAGAGTGCTAGCCTAGCAATTGCAAGCCCAGAGTTCAAACTCCAAGCATCTAAGAAAAGGACACTCTTTACAACCAAAAGAGAATAAAGAACTTTAACAGTACTTCTATCCCCAAAGTATCTTATATTACTTCAATGTAACATATTTCCTTCTTATGCCAGTTTGGATCTCCTCATTTCTGTCCCTTTCACTGCTAGGACCCACAAACATATTTTAAGAGGGTACTAATTCTTCTGGCTTCAACAATCACACACTATCTTAACAGACTCCAACTTTGTAATTATTATAGAATTGTAATTAATGCACACTACTTGTACAAAATAGTGGGCCTCACTGTAATACTTCCATTTGTGCATTTATTGTGCTGATTAAGCCCACCTTCCTACCACCCTACCCTACCCCTACCCACTGTTTCCTTGGTCCTCTTCCCCTTCCCTAATAGTACTTCTTCTACTTTCACATCAGCTTTATAACCTAGTGTCCACACTTCTATGTTTAATATGGAATAACACAAAGTACACTTCTAGAGGTGATTACAAACACCAAAATCATGGTTACAGATGGATGCAGTGACATAGAACCATGTTTTAAGTAGAATGGGACACAGAGAGGCTTTTAGATAGAGATGAGAGTCAAAAGTTTATTTCTTCATTGGATGGTGGTTGAAAGGGAATCTGCCTTAGAATAATTCACAGAAAAATATGATCTAAGTACATCTGTCTACTTTAAAATTTCTAACATAAAATAAGGCTACTTACCAAAACAGAACTCAGCCTTTGGCCTTAGCTTAGTTGCATCACTAACCTTGTGAGAGAGAGGAATGAGTTACTCACTTCTTCAATTGCTGCTAGAACCAAACTCAAATTCTGTGTGAATGTCTACACATACAATCTCCCATACACATACAGTACATAGATCTGAAACTAAACTTTAAAAACTGAAAAAGAACAGCTAATTAAATATAGGGTCTGCATCCCAATTGTAATATGCTTAAAACAATCGATATTTCCAATGTTTTCTATGAAGAAATTTTTCTACTCCAAAGGAAATGTGAGGCAGTTGAAAGTGCAACAGTGGGTTTGGGGCCACACAGAAATATTTTAGCTTAAAAAAATCTTCAAAATGTCCTCAATGATAGAAACTATTGACTATTCCCAAACTGTAGGCAAAATGGTGGTGGGCAAGCATGACATTGCCCAATGTTGTGGTAAAATCCCAAACACTAAAAGACATTGCTCTGAGGAGTCAACATGGTACTCCATCTACTCTTAACAAAACCCCAGAGAAAGGGCATCACTTTGGAAGTGAAGCAACTAGAAAAGCCCACTTGTGACCAGACATGCTGCCATGCTGCTGTCCAGCGACAGGACATACAACTGTACCATCTTATACCTTTTAAAAGAAATTCAAGTCTGGGGGTCCTGATTCCAACTATAAAATTCACAGCTGAGTCACACTGCAGTTAGTTCTAGAAATAAATTTTGAGGGGAAAAAAATGGCCTATTGAAAGTAAAGTACAAACTGTACAAGTCAAACTTCAATAAGCTAGACGCTAGAGACAAAAAGTTAACTGCACAAAAAGGAAGGTTGTATTTTAGAAGACAGAAGGAAAGCAGCTGGTCAGTCTTTCTACTTATTTTATTAAATCAATACTATACTTCAAGCATGATCTCCCATTTTAAAAAAGACTAGGTTAACAATTGAAAAGATATAAGTAGAGAAGCCATCTCTCTCATTTTCAACTGCTTATTCCAATAAAGTAGGCCTTTCCACATTAATTCTTTGGTGTAAAAATGTGGGGCAGTACATTTACATTACAGTATACAAGAACTGTAGGCACTCAAGCAAACAATTTATTTTACAATAAAATCCTATCTTTCTTAGTAACAGTCTCTATAGAAGCTGGGCTACAAGCTACCTGAAGTATTTTTTTAAATACCTTAATTTATAGGAACATTTGGGTTATCCAATATTTGTCTTTTGTAAATGTATACAATATGACTTAAACAGAAAATATTTTAAATATATAACCTATATTATTCAAAGGCTAGAATGATATTTTGTCAATGAGAGTGAATGTCTCTATTGTAACACTGGTCACAAATTACTTCATTCATAAAAATATGTCTTCTAAACACACTGATATCCAACTGATATTAAGTTGATATTCTGTTAAGATGATTTGCCTTTGTTAAAAGACCACAACATATGCATAACAGTACCTGCACAATTAATAGCACTCTGTTGCTACCTCTTATATGTGTTTTAAGTTACTGACAAAGTTTTATGGCTTCTGTGGAAAACAAAGAAAAAGAACAACAAAATCCCAAAAGGCTATCATGTCAATATTTCTGTTTTCAAAATAAAAGAAAGGAAAACTATGTGACCAATAAAAAAATCTAAAGTTTTGAAATTTAAAAAAAAACTATTTCAAAAATATCAAATCAACAAGAAAATAGAAATTAAAAGAGGCAGAGTAAAAAAAAAAAAGTGAAAAGAATCATTCTTTCAAGATAAAAATGGTTCAAATTTTCACTAAGATAAAATATAGAAGCCCAGTAAGACTGGCTCATGTATATAATCCCCTTTTTTGGGGGGGAGGGGAGGTCCGGTTGTGGGGCCTGAACTCTGGGCCTGGGCGCTGTCCCTCAACTCTACAGCTCAAGGCTAGCACTCCACCACTTGAGCCACAGCACCACTTCTGGATTTTTTCTTTTTGCTTATGTGGTACTGAGGAATCGAACCCAGGGCCTCAGTCATGCAAGGCAAGCACTCTACCACTGAGCCACCTTCCCAGCCCTCAGGTGTATAATCCTTAAAAGCTGAGATCTAGAGGATTATAGTTCAAAGCCAGCTTAGGTTTAAAAAAAAAGTCTTGGAGACTATCTCCAAATAGCAAGCAAAAACTAGGGTGAAGATGTGGCTCAAGTGGTAGAGTGGCAGCTGTGAACAAGCAAGTTGAGTGACTCGTGCGGTACCAAAGTTCAAACCCTGGTACCACCAAAAATAAACAAAAAGCCAAAAAAAGTCAAAACTGGACTTAAGTAAAAAACAATCTAAAAATAGGTAATACATATTTCATCTCTAGAACTTCTCAAGATAAAGCTTCCTTTTCGGATTTTTCCTTTATTTTTTTCTTTTTTCTTTAGTGTCTCACTATTGTAGTTTAGGCCTCTAACTCACAATTTTCTAATCTCAGCCTCTGTAGTACCAGGATTACAGGCACATACCATCATACCTGTGACTGCTTCCTTTTCTAATATTCATGTACTTGATAATAAAAGTCAAGCCATTAACTTGTACAATTCACCAAATCCTTTGAGTTCATTTCATATTCTCAATTTTATCAATTAAGGAACTTCTAACCATAGTAATTAGGTCTGTATCACTTTCATCATAAAATCTGAACATCACCAAGTAATATAGCAAGGTATCTACTGCTACTGCTCACTTTCATTTAGAGGGATTGTAATAGAAAGTAACATAATGTATAAAGACTACCTTTGAAATGTAGGTAAGTTTAATGGCTCCAACACGTGATGATCCTGAAGGTAAGTTCTAAAAACAAATTATTAATACATAATTAATTTCCAAACATCATGAATTCCACATATTCTAAAAATGGTTAAGAAATTCAATTTTTAATATTCTATTTTACGAATCAACTTTACTCAGTTTAAGTATCTACTTGCCTAGCATTTGTAAAGTCCTGACTTACTTTTACACATACACACACAGAACAAAAGATAACTTGGATAGCCAAGCTAAACCTTACTTTTCATCATGATACATGATGAAACTAAAAGGCTACATTAATCTTTGGAACTAAACACTCAAATTTTTCATGAGAGTCAAAAACAAGATCATATTTTGTCCTGAAAGCAATGGGAAAAAATACTTAAAGACATAAAATAAACATAATTCTAACAAGTTTTAAAAGGCTTTGTCCTAGTAAAACTTTAACAAATTCATCCCACAAAAAGTATACTTTCATTTCATTTAAATGGTTTAGTGTTAAGTTACCATACTTAATCTACCCTGATATTTCTTCAAAAGTATTAACTGATTCTCTTTAAATCTCATGCAGAGTGTGGGTAATTGTAACTTTCATAGAAAATATTCTTATTTCTTAACAAGTTTGGATGGGGATTGTGTGACAAGGAGCTTAAGCTAAGGACTTAGGAAGAGGGAATAACTTCTGGCTGAAGCTATCAGGGCTGTGAAGGAATAATCAGCAATTAAGCTGGACATAACTTTGAAACACAAAGAGCAGGAGACAGAACATTCCAGGCTAAAAACAAGCTTTTCAGCAAGCAGCTGAGAAAGCTCAGAATCTCTGTACTAGATTGACAAAGCTCTGGTGCTGGGCTGTTAGAGAAATGATCATATGGGAGCTGGAGATGTAGCTCAGTGGTAGAGTACTTGCCTAGGGTGCTTAAGGCCCAAGGTTCCATGATGCACACAAAACAAAGGAAAAAAAAAAGGTGGTTTGGAAATTTGAGCTGAGAAGCTACATAGACAATCTAACTAAAAACAAAGACATAAGAAATTTAAAATCAGGGCTGGGAAGGTGGCTCAGTGGTAGAGCGCTTGCCTTACATGCCTGAGGCCCTGGGTTCGATTCCTCAGCACCACATAAGCAAAAAGAAAAAAGTCAGTAGTGGCGCTGTGGCTCAAGTGGTAGAGCCTTGAGCTGAAGAGCTGAGGGACAGCGCCCAGGCCCAGAGTACAAGCACCACGACTGGACCCAAAAAAAAAAAATTCAAAATCAGATATATAAGTAGATCTATAATCAAAAATCAATTTTCAATATATCTTGAAATATAATAAACTAGATTATAGAAGTGGAAGATGGAAGTAGTAAACCCAAATTTAAAAATCTCTGAGAAAGTAATAATATACCAATGAAAGGACTGATAGAAGCCAGGCACAAGTGGCTCATGTCTCTAACCCTCACTACTCAGAAGGCTGAGATCAGAGAATCCTAGTTCAAAGCCAGCCCAGGCAAAAAAGTCCCCTAGACTCCATCCCCAAAATAATCAGCAAAGGCCAACCTGTAGATGTGGCTCAAGTGGTAGAGCCAGCTTAGCAAGTATATGGTGCTCAGTAGGGGGGGAGGGGAAGAACACAGAGGTACACACTTGTCATTCCCCAACAAATGAGGAAACACATGTAAAAGATCACAGTTCAAGCTAGCCTGGCATAAAGCAAGACCCTACCTCAAAAATAACCAAAGCATAAAAGGCTAAAGGCACGGTTAAATTTTAGAGCACCTACCTAGCAAATGTAATGCCCTAAGTTCAACTTAAAATACCAGTTTCTATGAATGGAGTGATAGAAATATTGTCAAGCCCATTTTTTTAAAAGGGGGAGGACTTTAAAATGTGTTATTTGACAACAAGAAATAATAAATTAATCATACACTTAAAAGAGAAACAAGCTATATGTTACCTAGGAGTTCAATTCATTTTGTCAAATTCACTTCCTAGAAAACTATTTAATTCTTTACCATTTCCAACTTCCAACACATAAAGCTGCAACTGATCCCTTATAATACACCTGAATGGGTTTTCAAACCAATGGTCAGTGGTATACAAAGCAGTGAAAAGGAAATGGCTCCCTAAGGACAGGCAGGTCAAGCGAGCTACCTTTCACAAGGTTATTACACTCAATATAACCTCACCACTGCACCTTGACAAGAGCAGCAAATTGAACTGTTTAAAATAATTTTTCAGTAATTAAAAAATGGCTATAAATTGCCAATTTGATATTACTTAACCAAATAATCTTAGCAAGAGGTTTGCCAGGAGAGGCATATACTGATCATTACATTTAAAGGTAAAACAAGGCTAAAGCTATTACTTGGCTAATATAGTCGATGGTAGAATCAAGATTTTTAAGGATTTCTGTAAGAGGAAATAAAAATAGTAAGAAGTGGGGGGAAAAAGAAGTTTAAAATCCTGCACTACCAATGCACTAACTACAACAGGATCATTTGGCCATGTGAAAGTTCCTATGAGAATACATGAGGCTAGGGGGTGTAGCTCAATGCCCTGCATTCAATGTGAAAAAGACATAGCTGAGCTCATACTTTAACAGGTTCCCTCCCTGACAAAGTGAATTACTGCGAAGGCGTAAAATTCAGAAGAAACCATTTCTGTCATCCAGACCCTGGGAAGACAGAAGCCTACAGGGAGAAACCTGTGCCCTGCCTGTGGAAGAATCATAAGCTGGGATCTGGAAAACAGATCAGAGGGAGTCAAGTAAGACACAGTTTATCTTGAAAAAAGAAGTCAGTGTGGGGACTGTGCCCCAGATAGACAAAGGGACAAAGAAGGGAAGAATCGGATTGACATGTTTAGAAGGAAAAAAAAGTAAAAAGTTTAATTTTTGCTAACCTGTTTTTTATTTCACTGTAAATAAAGATAATAAAGGTAATAATCATGTGGTTGTACAACCAGGTATCTACCTTCCAAAAAAGATGACTGCACATAGAGATACAGTAGTACAAGGTGTCAAAAGCCTGGCAAGGATGCTGACCGAGAGCAATGAGTTCCAAGCAAAAAAGTATGAAATATGTATTACCCAAATAATATAAACTGAGTTAAAATAGAACCTACCTAAAATTTGAAAGGCTACCTATAAGGACTAAACTTACATTATGAAGAATCAGAGGGCAGAACACTAACAAGCAGAAGATGTAAGGAACCAGATTTTTTTTTATTCACAGCCAAAAATAATAATTGATACTATGCTAAGTATAAAAAGTACTTTTTAGATATGTGTAAGTCAAACAACATCTAAAATGAACTTGAGAACCTTGATTGAGGAGACTGAACTAATACTAAGATCTCTTATAACTCCAATTCCACATAAACATTTATATACTAGAACATATCTAATCTAAAATTTGTATAGGACAGTGAAGAATACTACCAGTTACTGGGGAAACAGAACAGAACCTCCTACAAGTCCCTACTTATCCCTAGACCTCTTGTTCCCTACCTACATAAGAAGCACTTGCTTTCTATATACTTTATGATGTATAAAATCTCCATTTTTAACCTTTATAACAATTTTTATTTGAAGAGTTCCACAGTAGGGAAAGTTTAAAATTACTTAATAGATGATTTCTAACTTCAAGTCTCTCACATATATTAAAACTAGGATTCTTGTTTTTAATTTATGACATTGTTCCCCAGTGATTTGTAAGGAACAATAAAGTCAAATTGCATTTCAGTTCACTATGGCATAACAAGGACTAAAGCTCAAGTCTGACCAAAACAACAACAACAAAAACTACATTATGTTCAAGAGTTCCAACTAGATATCAAACACTAGCATTTTCTATTCTAGACATAGCATCATAAATCTGTATGGGTTAGGAATTTTCTAACATAGTATTTCTCTCCCAATGGAAGTATGTTTATACAGGCATAAAGTATAATCAAATAAATCTAGTTTCATTTTCTAAAATTTAAACAAGACAATAGGGGTCAGGAGTACAGGGCAGAAAAAAGTAATGGAGATAAATCTAAATATATACTGTTTAGAAAGACAAATCCTAAATCTATATAGCATGTCAAATGCTTTAATAAATAGAACTTTTATGTGCTTTTAAGAGGCAATCTGTGGCTTTTACAAACCTGTGGATTATCCATGTACCATACAAAACTATCTTCTCTGGTATCCAATATGAAGTACCTTCGAAGAAACTTCCCACTATTTTCATTTTCTTCAATATCCAGAAAACCACAAATGCGGTTCTGACGATCCACATAAGGCATTTCTGGGCTTGAACATTACACTGCAAAATAAAGACATTAACAGTAAACTCCCTAAGAATAAGATAAGCATTTCCCAGAGGACATAGAGGTTCACTTTGTACAGTACTGGCACAATCTGTTCAACAAGAAACCTAAACAAAAAGCCCCTGTTAAGTGAGGCTACATAATATAAACTCACACCGATATCTGAAGCATCCAGAAAAATCACTTAAGGAAATAAATTTAGTATGAATGTTCACTAAGTCACCTGTTGACACTGACCAAGACAAAGAAGGGCCTGTCTTTGAATAGTTTAGTTACTCTTTCCCCTAAAATAAACCTATATGAGCCAAACTAACTTACAAATCAAGATATGCTACATTTTTCAGTTGTTTCAGAATATTTTTAATTCAAAAGACTCTAACAATAAAAGCTAGTATTTACTGACCAAATATCTATATTTAGGTTCTTTTTTATGCATTATATATTTCATCTTCCTAACAACTGTTGAGCAGGCTTCATCTCCACTTCACAGATAAAGAAATTAACACTGCCGGGGAGACTTGTCCTGACTACAAAACTAGTAAGGGGAAAAAAATCAATACTTAAACCTAGAGTCTTAGGTTCTAGGGCTCTTAAATTCTTCATCATCCTGTCTCTCTAAAACCCTTTAGATTTCTGTAAACTAAAGTTAGCTACCAAAATAAAAAGAGGGCTAAGCAGGTACCTCCAAATAGAAGCCATTCAAAAGTCATCTATGCAGTGAATTTAACAAAATCCAGGCTTATCTAATTCTGATCAACTACCACATTACGAAAATACAGAGCATAGAGGAACCTATTGAACACACCACAGGATGAAGTCAGCAAAGCCACACTATGGAAAGTAAAAGGACAAACAATATAACCCACAATACACAAAGAAAAGGAAGTTGGGAGGTGGAAAGCAAAAGAAGGGAGGAAAGAAAGGAAGGCTTTTACTTTAAAAAAAAAAAAGTATCTAAATCAGTAAGATGATATTCCACCTAAAAGGCTAGTAAAAATAGAGTTAAAAGTTAACGAAAATAGAAAAGAAATAGTTAAAAAATTAACTAAAATCAAAAGCTGGTTCTTTAAAAAGATAAAAAGGGAGGGAAAAACAGAGAGAGCAAGAGAAGGGGTGATATTGTCCAAAAAGAAATGCACTCTTCCTAGCCAGGCACAGGCGTCTCATGTCTGTAATCCTAGCTCCTCAGGAGGTTGAGATCTGATGGTGGCAGTTGGAAACCAGCCGGAGAAAAGTCCATGAGACGCTTATCTCCAATTAACCACAAGAAAACCAGAAGTAGTGCTGTGGCTAAAAAGTGGTAGAAAGCTAGCTTTGAGCAAAAAAGCTGAGGGAAAGTGCCCACAGACAACAAAAACAAAAAAACAAAAAACCACCAAGGAAATGTACTCTTCACCTGACTTATGTCTGTAACCCCCTCTGTACGTCATCTTTATAATAACAATACAAAAATGTTTTTAAAAAGATCAATAGAACTAGTAAAACCTAAAATGCAGCTATGTGGATAGACCATGCAGAGCAAACAACAGCCATTATGAGGAACTTCAGAGAGGTTCTATATTGTACAGTTTGCAGACACTAAATGGATATTACTGTACACTTTTATGCAAACAAATTTGGCAATTTACAGGAAATAGACAAATTACTCAAAAAATAGATTTTTGAAAAAGTCTGACACAAGATGAAAAACAAACTCTGAATTATACTGTATCATTTTCTTTTTTCTTTTTGGAGGAGGGAAAGAGCTGGTCCTGGGGCTTGAACTCAGGGTCTGGGTGCTTGTCCCTAAGCTGCTTTTGCTCAAGGCTAGTGTTCTACCACTTGAGCCACAGCACGACTTCTGGCTTTTTCTGTTTATGTGGTGCTAAGGAATGGAACACAGGGCCTCATGCATGGAAGGCAAGCACTTTACCTCCGAGCCACATTCCCAGGCCCTTCCCACATCATTCACTATCCATAAGTGGCAAAAAAAAAAAAAAAAAAAACAGAAGCAACCTTCAACTGTAAATGAATCTCAACTGTAGTATTTCTAATACTATGAAATACTTCTTAGAAAAACAAACTTTTGATATACAAAACATCACAAATAAATCTCAAATTTATTTTGCTAAGTGAAAGAAAGAAGACTAAAGGACTATGGAGACAAAGAACAGATTACAGGGAAGAGGAAGATTTTTAAAGAGGTGCTTCAGGAGGTAACACAGATGTTCTCAACATTGACTGTGGTGTGAGGTACAAGACTATGTACTTCAGAAAACAATTTCTAATGCTGTGAATAGGTGAAAAGCTGATGACAGAGGACATAAGGGAACTCTATGTGTATATGCTGGAATTGTGTAACTTGATTGTGGTGGTAGTTATACATTTTACGTACATGCAAAACCTTATAGAATCTATACACTAAAATAGGTAAAATTTATTGTATGTAAACAATATCCCAATTACCCTAAGTTTAAACAACAAAAAAAACATACACACCAGATCAATAAAAGCAAAGAGATCATTAAAGTGTGAAACATCTATAATTTATACACTGTTGATCGAAATATAAAATGATACACCCACTTCAGAAATAGTTCTGACAATAAAACAAAAAAAAAAAACTATTCCATCCCAGGTATCCATGCAAAAGCAATGAAAACATATGCACACAAGGACTGGCAGCTTTATTTGTAACTCTCAAGCTAGAAACAACCCAAAATGTCCATCAATACGTGAACAGGATAAATAAAATGCTGTATATCTATACAATGGAGTACTAGTTTACAGTACAAAGATATTATTAACAAAGGCAACAATATGAACAGCTCTCGAAATCATTACACTAAGTAATAAAAGGAAGACATGAAGAGCCATATGATTCTATTTCTAAAAATCTCTAAAACCTACAAATCAATCCATAGAGACAGAATGCAGATCAGTGATTGCTTGGAGCATAGGGAGAAGGACTGACTTGAAAAAGTAAATTAAGGATATGGTAGCAACTGAAAATCATTGAATTATTACAAATAATACTCCCCCTACTTTTCTCTATCATCTATCCCTAGGGTTTGAACTCACAACCTTCTGCCTTCTAGGCAGGTTTTCTACCACTTATGCAGTGCTCCTAACTCTTTTTTGGGTTTAGCCTTGGACTACAAGCTTCTCACCTATTCTTGCCATAGCCAGCCCAACTGTAATCCTTCCTATGCCTCTCATATAGCTGGGCTTGTTGGCTAAGAAGGGGTTGCACTAACAGTTTGCCTGGGTTGGCCTTGAACCATTATCCATCTGCTGTCATCCTCCCATGTAGCTCAGATTACAAAAGTGCACCATCATACCTGGCTCCTATCATTTTTTTTAAATTTTACATGGCAAATACCTGAGCAACACAAAAAAAAAAACAAAGAGAAAAATATTTGCAATGTACAACGAATAATCTAACTTGAAAAAAATCTCAATGAAAATATATCAAAAGTTTGATAGAAAAAATGAGTAAAAGCAGCCAGGCATGGTAGTTACACACCTGTAATCCTAGCACCCGAAAGCTGAAATGGGAGGGTCATGAGTTTGAGGCAAGCGTGGGCCGTATACTGACTTAAATGCTAATCTGGGCTATATAGCAAGACCCTGTTTCAAAAAAAATTTTTTAATGAAAAAAGAAAAATGGTAAAAGATATTAACAGATATTGTTGAGAAAAATAATTTTACGATGGCTTTTAAACAGGTAAGGTGTTCAACATCATTCATAACAGAAATTTTAAAAAAGAATATATACTGTAAAATTCTTAGGACAGACAACTTGCATCTTCAAAACTAAATTAAAAAGCAGTAGAGGAAAGGCACCAAGGAGTAACTTTAAAACTGAAGAGACTATGAAAGACCTATAGACTGATTACAACATGTGGCTCATACTTGTAAGTCTAGAGCTACTTGAGAGCGTAAGAAATACTAGCCAGGACATAGAAGTTGGTGAGATCCCATCCCAGCTCAATCAATAAAAAAGCTAAGTGGAACACACCTGTTATCCTTGCTGTGAAAGATTCATACATACAAGGCCAGCCTGGACAAAAATAAAACCTATTCAAAAAAATAACAAAAGCAGCTACGCATCAGTAGCTCACGCCTGTAATCCTAGCTACTCAGGAGGCTGAGATTTGAGGATCAAGGTTTAAAACCAGCCCTGGCAGTAAAGTCCATGAGACTCTCATCTCCAATTAACTACCCCAACCCAGAAATGGTTCAAAATAGTAGAGCACTAGCCTTGAGCACAAAGGCTCAGGAACAGTGACCAAACCTTGGACTAGCATTAAAAAAAAAAAAAAAAGTAAAAAGGGATGAAGGTGTAGCTCAGATGGTACAATGCAAAGCTCTGAGTTCTAACCACAATAGTGCCAAAAAATAACAATTAAATTAAAAACTGACATATTTAAGAAAACTAGAAATAAAAATATTGCCTGATAATATTAAGGAAATAGACATATATTGGTGTAATAATGATAATATGGTTGTTATCAAAGAAAAAAATTAGTCCTTATCATTTCCTGACAGAAAGACAAAATATACAGCATTTGGAACTGGACTTGCTACATAAGAAGGCATTACTTGGATTGATGGTTGTTGGGACTAAATAAATGGGGCTAAATAATGGTTACATGAAGTTATTTAGAATACTCTATCTACTTTTGAGGATGTTCACAATTCTCCATAAGAGAAAACTTTAAATACAACTATGCTACACAGAGATACCATTTCTCATCTATCAGATTTGTAAAATTCAACACCTTGACAATACACAGTATTGGTAAGGCTGTAAAAACCAAAGAACTTTCTTACACTGATAGTGAGAATGCAAAATGGTGAACCCTATTGAGATGTATACTGAACTTTAATACTATCACACATGTATTTATCCTATAACCTGGCATCCCTACTTGTTATTAGAATCTAAAACTATTTTATGTTTATGATAGGACATGTATAGTTATATACATTATAGGATAGTGTATATTGAAAT